CCTGTTGCGTTGAGATAGTAGATAAAATTGCTTTCTGCAGACTTTATTCTTGCTCTACAGCTACCTTTTCCCTTTTTATTTTCCCTTCGGTACAGTATTGAACTTCTACATTAAGATTTGACATTTTTATGGAAATGGGTATTTTTCCATATTTTTCTTGAAACAAAGACTGAAGTAAAGAAGATTTAAAAACCATTCGTTCTATACCTTACGCAATTCTTGTTGCAAAATGTATAAGGAAAGTGTCCCCATGTTTTAGACCCTATAGATATAAAACCTCTTGGGTATTCTTGACATGGTGTATGATATGAATTATTTAAAACTCATATTTCTGGGTAGAAGAAAGAAGAGGATAGCAGATATTTTTCTCATCCATCCTCCATATGAGATCAAAAAAGATTTTCCATTCTGTATGCTGTATTTATTAAAAGTGTCCTTTTTATGAAGTATATTTCTAGTGATTCAAAGTTGTGGCAAAAGTATAAATGCGGTATACGAATGGAAACTGCTTTATTCAAAATAAATCGGAAGGATTTCGCGACAGTTTAGGTTCTTCCCGAGCTGAAATATTTATATTTATTCCTCTGTATTTTTCAACACGTCTACCAGGTTTTAATAATAAATTATGCAAATTATAATAATAAAGTTTTCCCATCTCATGGGTATATATGTATATATATATATGCTAAAACACGCTCTCTCTCTGTATATATATGTGTGTGTGATAAAATAGAGAAAAAGACGTAGCAATGTTGTTAAGCGTAGAACATAGATCCATATTAAAAAGGAAGAATACTGATTGCGTAAAATACTGAAATGCCGATCCACAATGAATAAGAAACTTGACAGTCGAGGCAGTTTCACTTCTATTTTTCTTTAAATTCACATTTAGAACCACAGTTCACTTGGAATTCTTTCGAAATATTTACATTTTTAATACTATTGCGACAGGAACAGATCAGAGCGAAATAATGTCCAAACAGGAAAGCAGTTACAAGCGAAGTAAGCATTTATTCCAGGATGGTAGCTCACCAAAGAGGAAGGTTTTGGTTTTACTAAGATTTCAATTCTTATAGTTTAGGTTCTGAAATAACTACATCATCAGCGTTACGCAAGCTTTATGGCATAGATGAATCTAGAAATGACCAAGTCCAAAAATATTATTATTACCTTTAAAATAAAAGGTAAATAACCAAATTAAAAAGAGCAATTAAAAGGCTATTACTAATTATATTATAAGGCTGATTTTTATCTTACACATATATATACAGCGTATTTCAGCAAATTAGTTACAAACTTTCAGGAGAAATAAAGTACACCTAGACGATGATGGAAAAACACATAGCAATGCATGGTCAGAAACGCTTTCCTGGCGCGACGATGTAGTGAAACATAATTTAATGTTTCTTTATAATTATTAAGACTTCCTAAGTGGCAACATGATGTAATGTTTTCAATAGTTATTAAGATTTGCCATGTGGCAACAACGAGTCGAGCTAAAAACGTCGTTACTTGGAGTGTTCCTTGATAAGCATTCAGTAAGCTTTATTTCTTAAACGTTTGTTATATTTTTATGTAAAAAAATGTAACATGTTGCAAACAAGAATGGAAATTGTAAAAATAATTATACTGTTTCTTTTAAGACCAAAATAAGCATTTATTTCACTTATGAAATACTCTGTCTGATCAATTTCGATTTCGCTTATTCATCAAATCCGCAACGACACAAAGTACAAGAAGGCAAAAACATGAACAGGGTAAGAAATATGTTTATTATACTCAGTGTAGCCGAGACCAAGAAATAAGAACAAAAACAGACGATCGTCATCAAAGAAGGTGTTCGAAATTGCGTTCGAAATATATCCGTAACATGGGATCGGCAGCGGTGGTCCAGTGCATTGGTCAGCACGTTCGCCAGACCTCACTTGTATTGACTTAATTCCTCATGACATACATCAGAATAATGATGTACGAAACCCCAGTTAGAATTGCTGAGGAACTTGTTGCACGCATCGTGGCAACTGTTGGGAAGTCCGGGACATGCCCAGTATTTTCCAGAACATCAGATCTTCCACGTGCCGAAGATGTGAGGCCTGCATCAAGGTCCGGAGTCGTAATTTCGAACACCATCTTTAATGATGACCGTTGTCTATTTGGGTTCCTATTTCCTGATTTCTGCTGTACTAAGCATAATAAACATATTTCCTAACAGTGTTCGTGTTCTTCCTTTCTTGTGTTTTGTGTTGTTACTACCGCGCCAGGAATGTCTTTTCGACCATACATTGCTGCGTTGTTTTCCATCGCCTATGAGTACTCTTTCTCTCCTGAATGTACAATGGAACTAAAATGGAATAGCTTTTTTGAGTAATACAAATTATTCTTAAATTTTCCAAAGCACTTGTGAGTCAAAATCACTGCCCAAAGAATATGATTTGAAATGTATTATTTAAATGGTTTATACGAATGAGATAAAACTGGAAGTTTCTTTCTTTGTTTTCATGTTCAGACGATTTCATGTTGTAATAAAGATATTAAATGTTGTATTTTACTTAAGGACTTCAAAAGAAGTCTTACAGTGGGGTATAAAGAAACTGCATTCTTTTTCGTTTTGGCTAAATTGCCCATAGATATTCAAGAGATCAAGAAAAGGGGAAAGATGCAGATGAACCTAATGGAGAGACTTATGCTTTGTCGTATACGAAGAAACGCCTTAGCCAAAACGATTAACTCAGCATCTCAAATTAGAGATGAAGTAGATCTCCATATTGCAGTTAATAATCAGGTACAGCCATATAAAAACATAACAAATATCCCATGTGCAATTACCAAAGTTACCATTTCTCCTTCAAGACTGGTTGAAATTATATTATTAACATGCTTGGTGGAAGAATGGAAAGCTCAGAGTAGTATTTAATGATAGGAATCGGATATATATTAGCCACGCCAATACTTGCTTATGTGTCTAGAAAAGAGAAAAGAGTGGAGACAATCTATTCTTATCACACATAAACAAGTGTCATGCAATCAGTAGGCAATTGTTTGCTCTAAGGAGATAATCCAATCGAGCAAAATTATCCGGAAACGAAATTTGTTCTTTTGACAATTCTTCAATAGCTCTGTTCTGCGCGTTCATTTCTCTCAACTGAGCACATGTGGTACTGGAGTTAAGATACAACCATGACTTTTTCAACAGTTATACTGCAACCGTCATTTTAAAATCAGAGAGCAAAAATAATCTTTTTCAACACCATACTCAAAATACATACAACTGGAGTGAGAGATACAACCGTAACTTCTTCAACTGTTAGACTGCAACCGCAGTTTCAAACTCAGAAAGCAAAGACAAGTCTTTTTCAGCTCCGTACTCAAAATAAAAACTAAGGTAACTCGGAATTAGCAATAGTTAGTTTACATTAAAAAATGCTTTATGAATTTAAATGTCTCTCAGAGCAACTGTGTGTCTGAAAAAAGATAATTTCGCTCCTTAAATTTGCAAGATCGTACGTTTACTATCTACTTATCTTATTATTTTTCCTATAATACGACTTTTATTTTGTCAGCTCCCACTAGAATACAAATTAGTTCATATATATAAAATCATAGTTCTTGAATTTGGGACTCCTATTTTGGCAGCGTCGCTGACGGTACCATTTCTAATTTTGCCCAGTTTTTAAATTTACTTGAATCGACTTTAGCCTTTGCTCGCGTGTGTTGAGAGGTCGAACCAAAACTTTTAAGCGGACTTGTCTTTGGAGCATTATATAAAGTTTCAACATTTGTATCCTTGTTAACCTCAAGAAGCGGAGGTCTTCTGTTATTACACCAGTTCTGTTATTATTATTTTTTGGACTTAAAAACTAATAAAAAATTTCTTTCAAACCTTCTTGTATGTCTGGTGTTAAACGTATGACTAAGATGAAGCCATGAGTCGCTTGTTTGTCTGCATGGAGTCCGAGACAAAGCTTTTAGTCAGACAGATACCGTACATTATTGTTTTAATATATCTTTGGGAAATTATTTTAAAGCGAAAGGAAATGTATTGTAAACATATAATTATACGCTTTGTTCATTATAAGCTTTATTTAAATATAATTATACGCTAACTTGACGGAGAGACGCATACTAATAATTTTCTATTCGAATAGTATTGTTTGTATGTAGAATAGTATTGTTTGTATATAAAAAATTGTCTTCAGGAAAAGTTTAAGAAATTTCATTCGATAAACTGTTTAATCCGTAAATTAATTTGAGTGATAGTCTAAAAACTGATCATTGTCAGCTTGCTGAGAATCTTTGTTTCTTTTTTCAATAGTGTTATTGTTTCCCACATCAAATAATTAATTAAGCTATAATAGTTATTATGTATGTAATGCAGATCAAGGAAAACAATAAAAATCAAGAAGAATCATACGGTGCCTTGACATCGCAAAACTGTAATTTTATCAAAGCATTTTATTATGTATTATTTTTAATTTAAACTGTTATTTTTATGAAATAGTTCTAAGTAATAGTTGCGTTTATTCTATTGAATAAACTGGAAGGAAAGTTATATCCAAAAAGATATAAATATTCTATAATTCGAATTTCATTTAATTGTGAATTTTCTTTTAGTTTGTAATAATCATAAAGTATATTATGTATGTTAATAAGTCAAAATACTGTAAATACGAGTTGCAAAACACAGAAATGTAAATTTATTTTCGATATTTAATAACTAACTATGTCATTTGCAAATAAAGTTAGAGGAAAGCAATTGTAATGAATTCACAATGTACTCTTTCATGAAATTCGTTTGCAGAGAGAAAATTCAAACTGTTTTCATAAAATTTTCAAATCTGCATTTCAAAGTATATAAATAAATAAATGAAACATTATTAGATACATAAGTAGTAATGCTTTATTAATAAACTACTTTTTAATTTGCAGAAGAAATATGAATATGAAACTGAAAAAAATTGAAATAACATTTTTACAATATCAACTGCTCTTCTTTTTTTCAGCTTTAGTCATGTCTCCCCCAGCAGATCCTCGAGGTAAAGATGACAGAATCTCCCTTTTAAAGAGTCTTCATCGCCCCTACGGTCACATGGACAACGGTTCGCAGACATACGGACAAGAAGCCCCAGTCCAGCAGCAATTCAGTCATCAACAACATCAGCGAAATAGTGCTTTTAGCCAAATCGAACCTCATAAGGTCTTCTGCCTCAGGCAACAATTTCTTATGGCAGCAGCAATCATCGTCGTCAGCAGTTTAGTTGTTTTCGTGCTCTTCATTACGACCTTTAGGTAAGTCAATTCAAGAACGATTTTTAAAATATCCGGTTATTACAGATATATGCGATGAGTGGCAAAATGATGTAAAAATTTTATATTACCAATGAGCATTTCATGCCCAGCAATGCATTTTACTTTTAAAATTTGTACTTAAAGTTGAAAAGATAATTCTTAGTTTATTGCTTATTTAGTAAACATTAATTAGACTTTACCAAATGATAAGTAACATAATAAATCTGCTAAAGTACAGCGAAAAGTTTCAGGAAAGGCCTTAGAATAATTTCTGAGTCCAAAGAAAATAAAGAGCAAAATAACAATTAGAAAATACAGCAATTTTTATAAATATGTTTGGCAACTAATAATATATGTAAATACTTTTCATTGTATGCTAGAGATTTACTGGTAGACCATATTTCTGTACTATTTTATAAAGCACTGAAATATAGTACATACGGTATGAAGTTTGTTTGATTAACATGTAATTTGTTCTCCTGAATGCAATTTGTACGTTGTTTAGAAAAGTACTCATCAGAATACTGGACACAAACACAAACTGAACATTAAAATTATTCAAATATTGTTTCGCAAATTTTTAAAGAACTTCCAGTTTTGTATTATTTTATTTTAGAATTTCTGCCACTTGAATAAAGCAACCTAAACAAAATCTCTTTGCATTGCGCAGATTATGATACGTTATTATGATACGTTAGATCACGCAACAGTGAATAGAGCCTAGAAACCATTTCATTGCAATGAAAGGCAGTTTGATGCTATTTACGCTTTGACTTCCTGTGAGATTGACAACATAATACTAGAGTTAACAATCTTGCATTTAATTTATCCAGTTTTAGCGCTAAAACAATGTTAAACTAGCTACTAGTTAAATTGAACAGGTATAAAGTCTCACTTCATTAGATGCAAGTAAATTTGCAACGAAGGGAAAACCACCAGTGTTCTTATACCCAAAAGAAGTAAATCGATAGAGTCTTGATTAAAGTCTATGCCAAACGTAAGGTTTTTGCTTTGAATAATTTTATGTTTTACTCTGGCGTGTTTTTCTTCTGTTTTGAATGAAGTAGATGTTGCGGTCTGAAAATCATACACAAAAAGCAAAATTTCACTTTCAATCACAATTGGCTTAAAAAAAATTAAGATCAATATTTGCCATTGCCTTAAATATAACATGCATAAATTTTACATTATTGTTAAGTGCCTTTTTTTCAGAAAGGTCACTGTAACACATTTAATTTTCCTACCTATCTAAACTAGAAAAAATAATTTCGTACAATTTGCATTGTGTATTTAACCGAAGAACTCCTAATTCAAATTTAAGGGTGTACTGGTGAAAAGTCATATGTAAGGTAAAATAAAATATACAAATAATTAAATTCAAAGAAAAAAAAATCTGAAATATTTCAGATTTTAAATTACGTCCAAAGGGGCGTTTTTTAACATTTTGTGTGTTACCTTTCTTTATTAAATATCATGTTCTTCGCACTTAAACCATAAGATCCCGTGCAATAGCAATATCGCAAAATAGTTTTAAAACGAGCATATCTTTAGAATTTCCGATACAGAGACTCACGCGCTGGAGATATAAATGTTTTTTCTGCACAACGTTGCCATTGCTCGCTTTGAAATCCTTGAGTTTGTTAATCAAAAATTCGTCAAAGTTTTAAAAAAACAGGAAATCGATCATAAAACAAATTCCAAATTTCAAATTTTGGTCTTCCACATGTTCATATTCGTTGGAGGATTACGTTATTCAAAATTCGATGACTCTATGTACCGTTATTTTATGACAATGTGAGAAATATACATACATTTACGCAGATTTTCATTATTTAATTTCTTCAAATATAATGCAGGACTCTAACATTTTATGGCAACAGTTTGAAAAGTGAACCGACATTTATAGGAGTCCGACGCAAAATGCCAAAACGAAAGCAATAGTCCTTCGGGACTCAAGTCCCTTTGGACTAATTATGTCAATTTATTTTTTAAAGGCATTGTTAAACTCAAGTAATCAATGTGATAAAAATCAAAATAAAAATATGATTTTTCTGGAAAAATCTGAGAAAATCAACATACGCTATACTCTAATATTGCGTCATTTTCTATTACATTTAGCATTTTTCTGATACATTAAAATTCCAATTTATCACTTTCATAAATTTATTTTAAAGGATATTTTTGAACATCAGGTTTAACACTAGAATTACTAGCCTATTGCCCATAAAATCAATCATTCAAAAGAAAGGCAACTTTAATCGATCTACAAGAGGCGTTTAAATGTTTGCATAAATTTCACACCGGAGTTAATATTCCAGAACTAATATTGCAGATAGAAATAAATTATCATTAAGAAGGAACAACTTTAACAATTCTCTAAGAGTGAACCCAAATTAAGATCTACAGTAACTAATTCTCACAAACAGAGCTAAAGGATGGTTTTCACAAGTTATCAGATTACTTGATATCAGATACAAGGTTATCAGATACAGAAAAACAATTAACTTTGACAAAAATCAATTCTTTTAATCTAAAAACAATTAGCTTTAAAATCTATTTAAGATCTTCTATTTATTTTAAACGGTCTTATGTTAATACTCAGAGAGTACTTTTAGTAAACATTTTTTAAGCATGGGTAGCAATTATTTCCTCACCCAATTATCTAGCGAATCAAATTAAGTTGAAATAAATTCAAAAGAAAATAAACTTTGCTGACATGATCTTTCCGGTATCAGAAGCTCCATCATCAGTCATTGCGCATGAACACAGGAAACCTCGTTAAAGTGAAAAAAATAACCTGGAAGAGTTCAAAATTTCTAGGGAAAGTCCATTTCTATTGTCTTTAAGCAGAAACAGTAGAATCTGGAGAACCGCTAGGTGTTAACAGCAGCAGTTGAATTTATTTTTCTCCATTAAATTTCGGACTGCGGAGGTGGATTTGAATTTGACATCTTATTAATTTGACTTCTGAAGGCAATATGGAGACAACGGAAACGGCAATCAGGAAAGACAAAAATGGAACAAGCGGGAACATCATTAAGGAGATCAGGAACTGCGTCATTTAATTCTGGACTATTGAAGTGGAGTTTAATCTGACATCTTGTTAATTTGACTTCTGAAGGCAACTTGGAACTGCATCACGGCGGGATCACGGGAACTGCATCACGGCGAACAGGAAAGACAAATGGCATAGACAATGAAATCTGGTTATTCTGTCTTATAAAGGCAACCGGAGACTTTTGGAAGATGTACTTCCATTTTAACTAAAATCATAATGAATTTAGCAGACGAAGGCAACTCTCTAGACGGGGAGAGTGGACCAAGGTTACTCATTCTGTTACTAAGTATGGTAAAAGGCCAAAATGGCTCTCATGCCCAGCCACGAGGAGAAATTGAGGCGATCATTTTTGGGCTTCAAGCTGAAGAGGCGACCCAACAACCAGCTGTGACCAGAATGAAGAGAGAGTGCAAAGAGAGTGAATTCCTGAAGAACAACCCCTTTTAGATATGACGGGGAAGCCACATTGTCTAAACTCCCACCTGAAAAGGTGAAAAAAACCAGTTGACGAAAACTCCCGCCAGCATTATTTATGTTCTGGAGAGAATGTGTGAGGGGAAAACGAGAATGTATTTTTCCTTAAATGGCTTATAAAACAGATTTTTCAGCAGCATTTTGTTGATATCTATCTCACTGACAGTCATTCGAAAAGACATATTACTATTTTGCGGATACGGTTTCGGAATGTTTTCGATATTCTCAACAGTTCGAACTGTGAAGGACGAACACTTCTGAGTACATCATCAACATTTTCTCGTCCTTCATCTAATCGTTCATATCATCAAATGACACTTGACCATATTAAAACCCATTCCATGTAAGGATCCCCATATGGGGATCGCCTACATTTGCTTACATTGTGACATCATGCTGGACCTGGGTGGTCATGCTTTCCTGAAGATTGCAACTAAGGGTAGAAATCTTAAACAAACACGTGGAATCAGTTGAGCTTACGAGTTTATTTTTCTTGCTCTCTCGTTACTTTTCACGAGAAAAATAATACGGTTATTTTCAAAGCACAAAAAAGTTACTTAGGAACAATTATTTTTGTTGTACTGAATTTCTCCTTGATCATTGGTAAGTAATTAATGTATTTATATATTATTTATCCTCATACTGTAATTTTGGATTGGGTACAATGAACCTAGATATATCAATCCCCATTTGGGAGAAACATGGCTGATACTGAACTAAAATTGTAAAAAAAAAACTGCTTTTCTTTTTTTTATCCAGGAAATGTTCGCGTAAAAGATATCTTTCTTTAAGAGAGAAATAGAAGAAATTGTAAATTCTGATGATTTTTTTGCATCTGACAATGACGACGATAATAGCCCCATAGATATTGTTGAAATTCCACCAGAGCGGGTTGATGAGATTTCAGAATAATGAGGACGTGGATGACAACGTAATTGATGATGAAGAACCACTTGATGTTCCCGGGTCTGTTGAAAATTCACCGTTGTGGCAGGATTTGAGGAAAATGTTTTAGTGACTGCAACTGAATCTTCAGCAAATGAAAGTAACAAAAGGTACCGGCTTACCACCTGCTAAAAAGAGAAAAGAAGTATTGACCTCCAATTAGAAAAAGAAGCAACCTAAGTACTCGAAAACTATATGACAAATTCTGACGTTATAGGAGACAAGGCGAAATGATGTCATTAGAAACCTCAGGGAAAAATCCCTGGTAGAGTGTTTTGAAATACGTTTTTGATAATGAAACTGTCACCTATATTGTCCAGCAGTCTGTAATATATGCCAGACAGAAAAACAATTATCAGTTTCAGCTTTTTAATTACTGCCTAAAAATTTATTGGAATACTTCTTTTCACTGGCTATCATTCACTTCCGCAAGAACAATTGTATTGGTGTGAAGATGAAGACATGAACATTCTGTGTGTTAGAGCATGCATAAATAGGAATAGGTATCTGGAAATTAAACGGT